GATAACTTCATCTTACAAAGGTAAAACCCAATATCAAAGCTAATAAACTCACATCACCCTGGTGACAACAATCAAACTGACCCCTTGATGGGGCAGTGTATCACTCTGGGGTCCCTGGGCCTGATGGCAGAAACATATCTTCGGGACCTTGCAAAAGAGTCCAAGTGGGAGCCAATCTTATTTCTGCAGGGATGATGTTCTACAGAAATGGGGCCACCAAAGAGAAGGTCCTTCTTCTTGGTCCCATTAGATGGATCTCCTTAAGAAAGGGGACCCATAACATATCCTGCCTCCCTGTTCTTGGAGACTAGTTTAATTCAAATGTGGATATAACCAGCTTTGTGTAAATCAGTGGTTCTCAGCCTGTGGGTCGGGACCCCATTTGGGGTCGAACGACCATTTCACGGGGGGTCGCCAAACAACGCAGTCCGCCATTTTTCCCCCCTTTTCCTTAGCTGTGCTACTCCCTTTTATTCTATTGGCTTTTGAAAGCCAACAGAATAGACTCTCTTGAATAGAGTCTAATTCTATTGGCTTTCAAAAGCCAATAGGAATGGTCCAGGCTGTCTCTGCCCTGCTGAGCCCGCCAAAAGTCCCATTCTGCAAACGGTGCTGCACCAGTTGAGTAGTCTTCGACTTACGACCGGTTGAGTAGTCCTCGACTTACGACCAGTTGGGGGGTCGCGGCATTAAAAAGGTTGAGAACCACTGGTGTAAATGATTGTGGGAAGATTGTAAAGGGATGGAAAAAAGATTAGACATTTAAAAAAAAAATCAAGAGAGAGAACAAGAGTTTGTTGGTACTTTATCTCATAAAGAACAATTTAGTCCAGGAAAACTCACTGTAAATAAGGGTGGAAAATTCCTCTTGCAGTTTCCTAGGTTTTGTAATTACCTCCAGATTAGCGTTAAATATATGTTAGTGAAGTCTGTGTAATTCCTAATCTTGACCATCTCTTTGTATTACATCCTAAGAGTTTGTATCAAGTTACATACAAAACTTTCCCACTAATAGCACCGAACCATAGATGATCATTAAAAAAAAATGTAACCCAAGGTCACAGCCAAGAATCGAAAGACTTCTCACAAAATAAAATCAAAATAGGGTCCCTCAACCCAGGACCTAGGTGTACAAATCCCTCCCCTTTACTCTTGTCAATCAGCACCACTCCTTTTCCCGAGACTGAATCATTCATTCTGTGCATCCTGTGTTATTTGTTTTGTTTACAATTAACTTTTCCATCAGAGTCGGCAATCAAGGCTGATAGCCATAGAAACACAACAAATAAAATACAGTTAAAACACATTAATAAAAGAGACACTGCACAGACTAATGCAAGGAGGCACAAGTAGTCCATGATTCAGGATCGCAATTCAGCCCAACATTTCTTTTGCTACGTGAGACATTTCTTAAGTGAGTTTTGTCCCATTTTATGATTTTTCTTCCCACGTTTAAGTGAACAATTGCAGTTATTAAATTCATAACACAGTTGTGAAGTGAACTTGGCTTCCCCACTGACTTTGCTTGTCAAAAAGTTGCAAAAGGAGGTCTCATGACTCTGGGACAATGCCACTGTCATAAATATGAGTCAGTTGCCAAGGGTCTACCTCAGTGATGGCAAACCTTTTAGAGATCAAGTGCCCAAACTGCAACCCCAAATTCACTTATGCATCGTCGGGTGCCGGGTGGGTGTGGCCCATTGGCTGGGCATGGCTGCAGTGGTAACAGCAGACTGGGTGGGAATAAAAAGTTCAATCAATCAATTCCAACTTTGCAAGATTTTTTCTTTCCGCAGAAGTTGAAATTGACTGATTGATTGAACCTTTTTTTTTTTTGCACACAGCAGCGGAGGCCTGAAGTGAAAAGGTTTTATAAAATCCAGCTGAAGGCCTAGGACTGGGGCGATGGCACACATGCCCACAGAGAGGGCTCTGAGTGCCACCTCTGGCACCCGTGCCATAGGTTCGCCACCACTGGTCTACCTGTACTTGGCAAAAAAAAAAAGATCAACGCTTCCAAGACACCAATATTCTGTATCCTGAAACAAGTACCTTGCACATTCCTACTCATATTAAAATTACAGACCATCATGAAACCATTTTTTCCACAGCCCAATCCTGTGAATAATTAAGTACCCTTCATTCAGTAAATGACAGAAGCATAAAATGTAATCAAGGCTGAGAGATGATTATTTACTGTTCCTTGCCTTGCACACAATAGTCAAGAATGGCAAACATAACTTGCTTATTTCTATTGCCCAGTTATAAGTTCTGTAGTATAAAATGATTTTATAACCCTGTTCATCTGTGATAATTATGACTTCAAGCATGGTATATTCTATCAAAAAAAAAATATTCTTAGGATGTATACCCTTTGGGTTTGTTTGTTTTTTAATTGTTCCCCAGTGTATATTCATCATAGTAACAAAGCCGTAGGCCTGAACCCAGGTGTCTTCCATTAACAAAACTGCAGATAAAAAAGATATCATATATTCATCATGAGCTTATGCATTTTGCTAGCTTTTTTTTAATTTTGTGTTCTGCTCATGAGCTGAAATCAGGACCCACAATTTCCTGCTGTTTGCAATGTCACATGGGCATTTTAGTCATTATTAACAGAAATTTCATTGCATTTAATAGCCTGTAATTTAAAATACAAAGTGTCTACTTTGTTGTTTTAATTACAAGTTGCTTGTTGAGAAAATTAAGTTTTAGCTTTAGTTGATACATTGTGAATTACTGTTGCTACATTTGTAGCTTAAGGTAATGTATACAAATACTCAAAATTCAACTTGTTATTGACTAGGAATTTCATTTTCACCTCCTCTTTTCCTAAAGATCTCACTTATGATGTCACCTCAAACCTTCCTCTAAAACTGATTTAATTGCCCTGCAATTACTTCACCCAAACATTGGCAACAAAGAAAATATTCAAATAGGATTTACACCCAACCTTTTCCAGACAGAGGCTTATTCTTGGAGCTTTACTATAGGGAAAAAAAAACAGAGAAATGGGTCAGGGAAGTTTTTTTCCAAATCTGAAAATACGAGACAACCAAATTGTTTGGCCTCTAACTTCTGTTTATCATAGTGCTTACTGCCTGCTGAGGTCATATCCTGAAAAATTGCCAACTCCACTCAAGGGTTCATTACAGATAAACATAAAAATGTTTTCAAGTCATAATTTGTCTGTCCTTTAGTTTTCAAAGAATCGCAGTGTGTCAAACAGTTCATGTGCCCCTTGATAGCAATGAGGTGGAAAACCTAGGAATCACTTCTGTGACCTCTCAAAGATTCGGAGATCACACCAGTAAAAATTGGCACTGCAATTATTAAATCAGACATACGCAAGGGTGAGAATGGATTGGGCGCAGCTTACCAGATGCAAGATTTCTAAAACTGAAACACTCATGCTCTTGCTTAAAGTCAGCTGAACATTGGTCTGAACATGTCCAGCCCTACTTCATCTGGCCATGTGACCAGAAGATCTCCTATGTCTTTCCAGACAAGTTGGTTTACCCAACCTAGAGGATGTTGCCCTCGAGATATTCCTGAAATAATAAATTGAACTGAATAGCACCTTGTCTGAAGAAGCCAAAACTAGTGAAAGAAGTAGCAATCACTTTCCCAAAGCACAGGTTTTGTTCAAAACATCTTACCCAAGGCTTTTTTTTCCCCCTTTCAAAGAACTCTAATTTTTGAAGCAACTTCAGCAGCTACACCTTTTAATAAACTTCTTTATCAGCAGCTGTTGTGTAAAGTACAAATAAAAGCTTGATCAGCAATGCTATGGAAAGTTCCAGCTACCAACACTGCTTCTTTTCACCAATTGTTGAAGGCTACTTCTACAGTAGCCTTCACCAACCTGATGTTCACCAGATGTGTTGGACTTCAATCTCTCTATTTTTGTAGATCAGAAGGGATGGATGCTGAAGGCCACAAGGGCTGGAGAACAACAGTTGAGGGCACTTGCCTCTACTGGGAGGAAGCAAATGACACACGTGATCACATCAAAAATGCAAATGACCCAACCTATGTATTTGCACAAGACCTTGTGAGGCAATTACATAATTTCACCACCAAATGATGCATGTGTCATCATTCTGATCTCATTGTAAATTGGTTAGAGGCAATACTGAGCGAACACATCTGGATAACACTAGAGTGAAGAAATCTCTTCCAGGAGACACAAACATCAGGCCGTGGGAGATCACAGGCTTCTCTGTAACACACACAAGTGACAACAGTGAAACACACGTGTCGCACTCCCCAATATGCCCCTCTAACTGAATCAGCCAAAAGAGCTAGGAATTACAAGAGTTTAAACTCAAGTTTTCTGAAGAAACAGAGGTTGCCAAGATTGTTGGATGAGTAACACAGGACAAAAAAGACCAGATAGCTTAGGTTGGTGGTATTCAATCAACTGTAACTAAACAGTTGGTTTAGGAGAATCCCCAAATTCTAGCAACACAAGCAACAAAGAGTGGGACCAACTAGCTAGAGAGACCTGTACACCAAAGGGCCAGTACACAGATTAGCAAACTCAAGAGACTTATGGTCTACCAAGGTGAGGTTGGTTCCTGCAACAAGCAAAAAGTATGGTTAGCAATAAACCAAAACCTACTTTGTTCAGCCACAATTTCTTATCAGAAGCAACAGCAGGCCAGGTTCAAGCCACAATTTTCTGGGTTCACACAACTAGGAAGCCCTGCTTGCTTCATGCAACTAGAAAGCTGAAGTTGGCTCACCAGGATTTCCCTTGGATTATGCATCCGGGGAAGCTTTACTGCCTTCTGCCATGATTCCCCTGGGTTCACACAACCAGGAAGCCCTAGATGCTCCTTGCAACCCTGGAAACTCGGGTTGGCTTAGCCAGGATCTCCCTGGGATCATGCAAACCAGGAAGCGCTGTGGAACTAGCTAGGTCTTGCAAAAGGGCAAGTGGGCAACCTTGATCCGCTTTCTCATAACGTCTGAACCCGCAAGCGAGTTGCACTCACCAGCTTGGGCTTATTTTTACTCTCCTCCTCCGAGGGACGCCCCCCGCCGCTGCCACCCCGCCTGGGGGTGCCCTTCCCCGGCGGGTCTTCCCCTCCGGCCCCCTGGCCCTCCATGCCGGTCCGGCGCTTCCTTTTTGCTGGTCGCCTGGCTCCCGGCTCGCCCGCCCCGGCTGTCAGGGCGCTCAGGAGGCGCCTCTGCGCATGCGTTGTCGAGCCGGGAACGAGGCGGCGAGAAGTCAGGCATCCTCCCTGCCTCTCTGCCCAGGGCTGCGGGAGTAGGCCGCCAGAGCGCAGGCGCGGGAGCGCGCTCACACACACTCTTTGCCCCCCTCTGCGCAAGCGCGCTCTTCGGAGTCTCCGAAGCCGCCCCGCTGGGCAGCTGCCCTCACCTGAAGGCTGGGCAAGGAGGACCCGGAAGCGCCTGCGAAGAAAGGGCGCCAGCGAGGGAAGCCTGGCGGAAGTCAGAGTGCGGGCTGGAGGCAGTAACCTGAGGGGCGGCGTTAGACAAGCTGAGGAATACGCGCCCATCACCTGAAAACCTCTTTTTTTAGGGAATTCATCATGAAACTGGATAGTTTTGCAATAAATCCAAACGTGTAACCCACAAGCACATAAAATAACATTTTAAGCGCGTACATAGACAAAATAATAATTTTAAATGCATGCCCGTGTTGCTGTGCATGGAGGACCCCTAATATACTATCGCTATGTAGTATATTAGAAATTTAAACTCGGAAATGTTAAAATATTTGACTTCATTGCTCCCCTGAAAGGATATGAGGGACCCTCCCAAAGGTCCTCAGACCACATTCTGAAAACTGCCGGCTTAGACAATTCAAAAAATATAACTTTGTGATTGAAAAATATTAAAATACTTCGCTATTGAAATCAAGAAGGAGCTGTTTATAATGTGCCAATGAGATTGCTACCTCAAAAAGAACAATTAAAAAGATGAAAACATCAAGTTAAACACCTTCATAATTGGATAAAACCGCCTGAGGGCTTCCCTGCAGGTCCAGAGGAAGAGTGGACATTTTGGAGATGTTTGAATAAACTTGTGTATTAGTTTGGCTAAAACTAAAGACCGCGTGTTAAAATGGGGTTTTCCCCCTGAGGACAAGGATATTCACAGCAAATGTGGCACTATTCAAACAACTATCCAACTTTTACAGCTGACATGCACATAAAATGAATTGCTGCTCCAAAATATCCCTGCCATCAACGTGGCCTGGCATTGGGCTAGAACTATATAAATTTATACTTTTATTAAAGTTTTTTTTTAATCTTTTAAAATTCAAATTAACAATTTTCCCCTTTCTGGATCCTACATTTTTTATATGAAATGAAACTTTGCTTTTAAGGGAGCGACTATCAGTATATCCGCATCGTTGCAGCAGACATAAAATGGTGGTGCTTAATACTCATTTAATAACTTTGCTGGGTATAAAATGAAGGCATCTATCACAGGAGCGACAGCTAATTTTGTGGGTCAACAAGAATTTCTACAAGCATGGACCATTTTGCCTTCAGCTGGAAATTCATACCACCACCACCACCTTTCTGTCTGAAGTCAGGCATCTTGAGCTTAAATGGTTCAACCTGTGCCTCGTTTAATCATGTGATGTGTAAGCTTCTCACCATGTGTTGGCAACAAGTTTCCTCAGAAAATGGAATGTTCTTTGGCACAATAGCACTTAGACTTATATACCACTTCACAGTGCTTTACAGCCCTCTCTAAGTAGTTTACAGAGTCAACCTACATTGCCCCCAATGATCTGGGTCTTCATTTTGCTGACCTCGGAAAGATGGAAAGCTGACTCAACCTCAAGCCGGTCAAGATCAAACTTCTGACTGTGGGTAGAGTAAGCCTGCAATATTGCATTCTAACGACTGTGCCACCATGGCTCACAAGCAATGTACTTTTTACTTTATGAGCCTGAATGTCGTGCAAGACGTTGTGCATGCCACGTTTTGATATACACAGGTATGTCTTTATTTAATTTCTTGAATGATTCATGGATTCAACCAGTTCCTTTCCCCCTTCACCTCCCACCCCCAAGGCACAAAAAGCACATCAGCTTGTTCTTGCGTATACAGATACATAAGGCAAGGATCCAAGAAGCTCATCAAGATCGTTTTTAGATTTGGCCTAGGAGCAAATACATAAAGATCTTGAAAAATACTAATTTCCTGTTTGATTAAGCAGAACCTCAATGGTTGGCCAGTATGATTCCTGTTGATATGGAAACCAAAAGGCTAAATCAAAGGTTGGAAACAATACTCCCTGTGCAGATGGGTGAAATTACTGAGTGCTAATTGCTTCAGTTATTTTAACCCTAATTTGCAACTGTAACTGTTGCTCTTATCCTTTCCTGAAGATACATTCTGGGAAAGGAGAAATAATAGCTACAATTGTATAGATGTGTTCATACACGATGGTATTATTGTAAGTCTCCTAGAGAGATCAGTAGCAAATAAATAAATAAAAATGGCCACAATTGTGTAGCTATGTTTAAACACGATAGTAACCCATGGTCAATTTTTTATGGTTAATTGAAAATTCAGTTATCTGGATTGGCCCAGAAGAATGAATCAAACTGTCTACACTTGTGAGTCACCAAATCCACAAATTTTAGAATTTTTAAAAAATTAAAAACTATATAAAAAAAAATAGGGAGGCAAGAACAAGTAAGCCTTGTTTAAAATTAATTGGCAAAAGCAAAGGGGGGGGGTGTCTCATGCCACCAGCCAGCCCAATGGCTCTGTGCTTCTTTGGCCTCCCCATGCAAGGTTACAGAGTCATGTTTTCACTCCATTTTGAAAGGCCAGGAGGTGGGGGGTCCCCCTCATCTCTGGGGGGGGAGGATAATATTCCACAGGATGGGGGGCAATGGCAGAGAAGGCTCTCTTCCTGGACCCCGCCATTCAGAGCTCTTTAACTGACGGGATCTGCACCATGACCAGGTGGGATAGGCTGATGGGATGGGATAAAGCTGGTTCCATAAGCAGCCATGTAGGGTTTTTTGTTGCTACTGATACCTTTGGCAGGAAATCAATGTCATTTTGGCCACTAGAATATCTTCCGTTGTGAGATCCCAGAGCTGATTTTGTTTCAAAACGAAAGCACTTGTGAACACAGCACTCTAAAGAAATTAAATATTTTAAATGCACAGCTTGAAAGCAGTTGTGACTTCTCAGAGGAACTCTGCAATAGAGAGAAAAAAAGGGGAAGTCTAAAAGTCATAGCAGAAAAGCATTATGTGGACATTTTTAGGCTGCAATCTAATGTCACTTGATGGCACATTAAACTTCCTCAAATTCTCTGAATGTTTGGTGTGGTGAGTATGTTCAAAAAAAACTCCAAAACTTTAGATTCTGTTCCTGGGCTCTAGAAACTTGTTTTGCTGCCGCTTAAGAATTTGAAATATGTGAGACTTGCACTTAAAAATGTTCTTATTCCATAAAAGAACATCAGAGAATGTGGATGGTGGTAAAAAAAGGTGTTATTGACCTTAGAAACTGACTTGCTTGTTCTTGTTCTTTACTTATCTACTCTGATACTCTTACAAAGTTGGTTATGTAAATATAAGGAAATGAGGTCTCCAAAGTTCTCAAATTCTTTTGAGATATTCTAAGCCACAATAAAAGTTGAATAAGGGCAGGTTTGGGATATGTACAACCAAAACCTCTGGGTTTCTCATTCCATTTGTCCTTGATCAGTTTTTTAAAATCAACTGACTGGAGATGAAACAAGTAGAATCTTCAGATTCTGAGATAAATTAAAATGTCGTAAAATGTCCATTCACATAAGTGAAACTGCTGATTCCAAAGATGAAGGGCACAGAAACATAGATTTCTAGAAAGCTCAGTCTTCTGAACAGGAAAGGCTTGGATTAACACAGCAAAAATTGAATCTGGTTTTCTGAAACTGTGAAGAATTGTTCCCTTTAGTCAAGTTTTGTACAAATATTCTTTGTTGCTTCGGAAAGTGAGAAATCCTCACTTGTTTTTCAAAATACAGCTGTCATATGTATGTGCATTCCTCTAAAAGAAGTGTTTTCAGATTTGCAAGATTTGGTTATTGTAATCTTACAGTAAAGATATGTTGTTGACTTGTGCTTCCTCTCTGGACTACCTTGAAGGGCTGACAAACTGTGATGTTTGACCTTAGCCTGTGCTCTCTATATTACAACTTTTATTAGCATTAGTAACATTAGTAATAGGAATATTAAGAGTAATATTAGCATTAATAGCACCAGCAATAAAGGTAAAAGATGCTTTTAAGTCAGAGTCCTCATGACTACATTAACCGCATGGATATCACTGTTTTTAAAGTAGTGTTCATTGACTTCTCTTCACATTTTTTAATTTCCCTTTCCTTCCTATTTTACTAGGATGGTCTGGTGGTCTCTTAGCCAAATATATCTTATTTTCAAGCCACAATTAGCTTGATTCTGCCACTTCCTGCTCATATTTTTATGATGGTTTTCTTCTTGGAGGAGGCTAAAGCAGTGAACATTTTTTCCATATGTTGAGCATTAGTCATGGAAGTCAGAAAAAGTTGCAGCTAGTTTAAATTGTTCCCATGCTATATTTCACTCAGCAAGGCAAACACAAACATGTTTTATTACTGTTTATAAATACAGTAAATTAGTTAGAGTACAAAGGGGGATATCAGAAGCTAAATACTTATCTATGTTGTTTTTAGTGGCAGGATCAATGCCTACTTTTATTCCTTTTTTAAAGCATTTGTAAATAAAATACAGTGCAGATTTTTGACACAAAGCTCAAAGATCTATATTCTTTTCTATTACTTTAAAATTAACTTGAAGTACTTTGTCTGGTATGCTCAATATTTTATTTTATTATTTTTAAAATGTATTTGCCATCCATCTTTGCCCTGAGGAGTTTCTGGACAGTTTAACAATAAAAATATACATATATACACATATATGGTATAGGTTCTCCTGCTTGACTGGAGGGTTGGACTAGAAGACCTCCAAGGTCCCTTCCAGCTCTATTCTATTCTATTCTATTCTATTCTATTCTATTCTATTCTAGTCTAGTCTAGTCTAGTCTAGTCTAGTCTAGTCTAGTCTAGTCTTTCTGCTCTGCTCTGTTCTGTTCTATATTCAAATACAATAAAAACACAGTTTATGATTAAGGGGTGGGGAATGAGGATGCAGAACGTAAAGGGAGGAGAGGTGGGATCAGCTTTTAGTCCATCAACCCCCTCCAGCGTGATAATCAATTTTATACTGAGCATTAATTGTACAACCTCAATAAATCTCTTCTTA